CCGACTGCAAAGCAAAGCCCTCGCAGGACCGAAGAGGCAACATATTCTTTTCTGCTGCAATGACAAAAATCCTCATCCGGCGGCTCATCCGGTCGGCTTGGCCTTGGACTGGATCGCATTGTCCCTGTCCGAAAAGAGGCCTGCAAAGTCCTTGGACTTCGCCTTGCCTTTGGCCTGACTCTCGGCCGTGGACTGCAACGAATTGTCCAAGTCCATGGAGTGGCCTGCAAAGTCCTTCGACTTGGCCTTGCCTTTGGCCTGACTCTCGGCCGTGGAGTCCACCTTGCCCTTGGACTGGATCGCATTGTCCAAGTCCATGGAGTGGCCTGCAAAGTCCTTCGACTTCGCCTTGCCTTTGGCCTGAGTCTCGGCCGTGGAGTCCACCTTGCCCTTGGACTGGATCGCATTGTCCAAGTCCGTGGAGTGGCCTGCAAAGTCCTTGGACTTCGCCTTGCCTTTGGCCTGAGTCTCGGCCGTGGAGTCCACGTTGCCGCCCTTGGACTGGATCGCATTGTCCAAGTCCGTGGAGTGGCCTGCAAAGTCCTTCGACTTCGCCTTGCCTTTGGCATGAGTCTCGGCTGTGGAGTCCACCTTGCCCTTGGCCTTGCCGCCCTTGTCCTTGCCACCTTTGAGCCACTGGCCTTTGACCACGGAGTCCTTGGCCTTGCCCAAGCCCTTCTGGGTGGCCTTGGGAATGGTGGCCTTGGGAATGGTCCTGGCCGAGGAGGATGCGGATGCAAAGTCCTGGTGTCTTTCCTCCATGACCTGCCTGACCACGTCCTCGACGTCCGCATCTGGGTCCAAGTCCCTGTACTGGGCCATGGCCTTGGCCGCGAAGATCGAAAGGGCCAGGGACGGCGAGACCCCTGCCCCGTCCGCATAGCCCTGGGCGTAGCCGCACTTGTAGTGCTTGTCCCGCCCGATGTCCCGGCCTCGGGCCAGGCCGTCCCGGAGTCCAGCCTCATAGCCATCGTCACCGCCGGCCCGGAGTCCTTGCGAGTAGCCCTCCTGATACTGGAGAGCCCCTTGCTGTGCGGCCGCGACGATCATCCCATGAGTCCTGGCCGACTCGGTGGCCATGTCCTGGCCTCGGCGAACGAAAGGAAATTTAAGGTTGCTTAGGTTTCTTGTCAATCCCCGGACCCTAAAGAAGGTGTCCTAAATAGTGACTAGCTGCAGCCCAGTCACGGATGCCCTGAGTCCGAGAGTCCTCGGCCTTCTGCTCCCTTTCCGCGATTTTGCGGTGCTTCCGGCCCTCCTTGTCCCCTCCAGGCATTGCGACGGGGAGACACCGAAAGGAAAAAAAGAGGCCGGGCCAAAGTCCTTTCTCGAGCCGTGTCGAAGCGACAGATGCGGCTTTGCTCGGGAAGCCCTCAAGCCTAAAACCCAAGCCCGTGGCTCTAGAAGTCCCGCTCTGAGGCCATGGCCGAAGCAAGAGAAGCCAGGAGAGAAGCATGTCCGGTTCCGACCTTCTTCGGGGCTGTCTTGCTTGCACTGAAAAAGAAGACTGCAATAAGAGGACGACAGCCGGGCTCGCAGCACTGGGCCCGCTGAGGACGTGACCTGGTGGGCACGGCAAAGTACGA